ATATATATATACATTTATATATATAATATGTAACTTTATATGTGTATATATATAAAGGTATATATATATATATATTGTGTTTAGACTTCATTCTTAAGCTTTGCTACTGGCATGTAGCATAATGTTACTCGATATTAATGTATTGAGGTGTTTCTCAATATTATGTTCGTCATTATAAGTACTGGTGAATGGAAAATGCATTGTCCTATAAATATTGATGGATGGATTATGTATGGTCTGCAGGCAAATTAATCGTAATCAAATGGTCAAGTTGATGAACGATAACACCATCAAAACCACCGGCGTCACTAATGTGCTGATGGAGATGCGCAAAGTCTGCAATCATCCTTTCCTAGTCAAAGATTGCGAAGTAAGTGAGGTGGACCTGGACCTCGGGAAAAGGGGTGGGGTGGAAGGATAAGGGATGGGGTTGTATATATATATATATATTTACATACACACTGTATGTATTTATAGATCATTTTGTCTAGTAACATTCATTGACCATTTGGGTGCTTGTACATGTCTTGCAAATTCTTATGTGGAGATAACTAGTCTAGTTTCGGGGCAATTTCACAATATTAATCGTGGAGGTGAGAAGTAGACAACCCATACAGTAAGGTTTGTTCTGGCGGCTTCTTGGATGTTTTCTACCGAAATCTTTTGTGTCACGAGGCACGTGCAATACAAGTGCAACCTTGTCCACCTCTGCCAATTTGGCGGTGTATATTCTGTTACCATTCCGGTCTACGCTCGTGCACACGTGAATTACTCGTGTCACTATTAATCTTCTCACTGCACAACCTTCTCAATTATGTCACACAAGTAAAATACGACGCACTTCTCATTGGTCCCATCAAATCCGTAACGGATATTGTTATAAACAAGATGTAGAGTTTGGCCAGATACAAATTCGGGTTGAAACACCTGTATGTATGTTAAAATGTGTATATGTCTGTTCCCGCCATCTTCTGGCTGACAATGCCGTTCTACTATATTCACATTCAGGATAATATATTGAACCAGTACGGCAATGTGGGGGACCTTATTTGGAAAACCTCCGGCAAATTTGAATTGCTGGACAGAATTCTACCCAAGTTACGAGCCACTGGTCATCGATCGCTGTTGTTCTCACAAATGACCAAACTACTGGATGTCCTCGGAGACTATCTTGACTGGAAGGGGTATGTACTGTCAACAATTCAACTTTATTGGTATGAATGTATGTATTTAGGCGTATATATATATGTATATATATTTGTATATATATATATATATGTGTGTGTGTGGGTGGGTGTGTGGGTGTGAAAATTTATCTATAAATCCGTAGAATCCTCCTGACGGAGATGGATATATGCCATAACTTGAAATGGCAATGGTTTTTGCCGGTATTTGCACAGTACAACTCCACTGAGCCGCACTCCATCTTATACCACACGGAAAACTTACCTGCCGCGCACACCTTGCGCCCTTGCATAGTATCAAATATCTTCGACTGGATGGTACCACGAAGGCCGATGATCGTGGGGAAATGCTGGCACAATATAACTCAGACGAGTCCGAATATGAGATCTTTCTCCTCAGTACACGTGCAGGGGGTTTGGGTCTCAACCTGCAGACAGCCGATACGGTGCTGATCTTCGACAGTGACTGGAATCCGCACCAGGATTTACAGGCGCAAGATCGCGCCCATCGTATCGGGCAGAAGAACGAGGTATGAGCTTAGTGTAAGGAATGTTAGGACCCTATGCATAGTGTGAGTGGGTGTGGTTTATCATATTTACATATA